ACCATAGTTATAAGTACTGAGTTTGTTCCAACTTATTGGGAAGTGTCCAGGATGAAATAGTTTCTTATGCTTCCCCTCAGCCAGCTTTATTGGGGTTAAGGAAGGGAGAAGCATAAGAAACCATCTTCTATGCCGTTTAAGCTCTTGTATATTATGACAGCTGAAACAATATGTTGAAAAGTTCATGGCTAATAACAGCAATCAGTAACCAATCAGTAACAATGCCATTCATAACTATGTGCCTGGCACTAGCCTACAGCCCTCTCATTAAATCCTCACAAGAGGGAGGGAGGTGGGAGTGGGGTTCAGGATGGGGAACACAGGTAAATCCATGGCTGATTCATGTCAATGTATGGCAAAAACCACTACAATATTGTAAAGTAATTAGCTTCCACCTAATAAAAATAAATGAAAAATAAATAAATAAATAAATAACTCCTCACAAGAACCCTGAGATGTAGGCACTATTATTCCCATTTTACAGATGAGGGAGTTGAGACCCAGAGAGGCAGAGTTCCTACATTCCAACCCAGGCAGCCATGCTCTGCCCTTCACCCTACATCATGCTGGAGGACTTTTCAAAAACTTTTCAGATGAGTACTAGATTAGTTCACTTATCAAAACTTGGCTGATGGTTGTGACCACAAGGGCATGGAAGGACTGTGGCTGGGTGAGGCACTGCCACTCACCGTAGACCCGCTGCCACCAAATCAGCAGACCTGTGAATCCAAAGAAGAAGAAGACACAGCCCATCACTGTCTTCCACTCATTGGAGCGACGGTTCATCTCTGCAAAAGTCTCATGGAACTGGAGCCGGTACACTGGAGGCAGGTGGGGGGTGGGGGGGAGGGGCTTCAGATACATCCAATTCTTGGGCCAACTCTTGGCCTCGGGGACCTCCAGCCACCCCACTCCCTGCAGCAGAAGCTGTCCATTCAGCAAATTCCTACGGAGCATCTACTGTGTGCAAAGCATGGCTAGGAGCTGATGATGAGGCTCGAGGCTTTCGGGGGGACACTTCCAGTGAGCAGCACTTGGTGTCACACATCCTTCCTGCTTCCGAGCGCCAGACCCCTGCTCTCCCACCCAACTCACCTGCCTCTTTCTGCTCCATCCCCCCAACACGACTCAGTGAAACCCAGGACCCTCCATGCTCTCCAGCTCCCATATCCTTCCCCATGCTGTTCCCACTGCCTAGCTGCCCCTCCCCCTCACCATCCAAGGCCAGCTAGAACAACCCTTCTCGGGAAAGCCTACCAGGATTGCATCTCTCTCTCTCCTTTGGGTTCTCACAGCCCCGTGAACACACCTCACCCAGCAGCATATCCTCTATTACAGCTTTCTGCATTTGCATTGGTTCCCCCACTGGACCGGGAGCACCCTAGGGGCAGGAACCCTCCCCATGATTCACTTCTGTGTCACCAGCATCACCTAGCATCAGTGTTTAAACAGTTGCGTGAATTAAAAAGTGAATGAACAAAGGAATGAAATTCACCACTCAGGTATGCATTTGAGTATTTAGGGGAGTGGGTTCTGGCTGTCTTGGCCAGGGTTTCTCCCTGCCGGCTGCCCCCTAACAGGCCAGGCCCTTCTTTGCAAAATCACCCCCATCCCCACCCTGAGACCTACGGGCCACCTTCTCGGCGTGGCTCAGCTGGGTCCAGCTGCCCTTCTCCTTCTCCTTGAGGGCCTGCTGCTCAGCGTTGAGTTCCGTGCAGAAGGGCTCCTCTGGCATGGGGTAGGAGCGCTGGGCGTGGTAGTTAGTGTAGGGGGGCATCTTCTCCTTGCCGTGGGCTGTGGGCACAGGGAGGAGTGGAGATGAGGCTGCCCCTGAGACATCCCAGCACCAACCATAAGATTAACAAAGAGGGTAGCATGTATTGAGCACTTAAACTGTGTGCCAGGAAACATGCTAAGGCCTTTGGGCGAGTTGACTCATTGGCATGGCTCTGAGACAGTGATATTATTCTCATCTTACAGAGGAAGAAACTGAGTAGCTAAGGAACTTGCTGAAATCCACAGAGAAAGAGGGAGCTGGGCCAGGGCGGCAGTTCAGCCCCTCTGGCTCCAGACCCTGTGTCCTCTGGGAAGATCTGGGGTGGGGAGGGCACATCAGGCAAAGGCAATGGGCAGAGAAAGGCTCGGAGAGATGAACCTGGGATGGCAGGTGGGAAACTGCTCTGCAAACTGCAAAGCACTAGACCTATGCCCTTAGTGAGTGGTCACGAGCATGACTTTGGAGTCGCGGGACCCCAGTTCCACCCCACCCCAGCTCCGACATGCCCTATTTACGTCAGTGTGGCCCAACATCTGGAAAGTGGGGATACTAAGCGATCCTATCTCACACTATTGTGGAAGCTTCAAGATAATGCCCGGGCCCCGGGCAGACATAATTTACACTGATAGATGTTGGTTTCACTTCTCACTTCCATGCCTGGAAGCTCTCCCTGATAGCCTAGCCCTCGAGGGCTCCGTGTGAGTGTCCAGAACAAGGCTGGGCCCTAGAAGAGTCTCCGTAAAGCTTCTTCTGTTTACTGTCACATGGGATGCCCTCCAGGAGGGCACTGGTACCACCTTGCCCAGAGAGCGTGGGAACCGCTTTGGGAAAAAGAGTCCCGGCTCTGGGCCTGTTTGTTCATCTGAGAAAGGGAGATAATGGCACAGTGTCCACTTCACGTGGCTGCTTTGAAATCCAAATATGTTCATCTGTGCAAAACATCGATCCCAGCTCAAGGCACACAGTAAGGGCTCAATAAATGTTATCTATCATCATTCTCCAGAGGGTCAAGAAGGCCCGTCTATCTGGCTCAAGTCTCTCTTTCTTTAGGCCTCTTTCTTCTGACTGGCTTGGATACAAAGGTACAGAAGGTTCTGTCAGCATCCTCTGCCTCCAGACATAAAGGCTTTAGGAACCTGAGGTACAGGCGTCAGGCACTGAGAATGCTTTGGGGAGGGAGCTGCTATTTCCTGGAGGAACGTGGCCGCCCCCCTCCCCCCACCAAGGACCAGGATTATGGGAAATGGTTCAGGGCAGGCCCAGAGCAGCATGGAAGGGACCAGGGGCAGCCTGCAGACAGGACCCCTGCCCTGAGCCTCAGAGTTCGGCAAGGGAGGGCATGTCCACGTCTTACCAGTGCTTCCTGGGCTGTGGATCCCTCGCATTCCAAGGCCCCCTTTCCTCAGGGTCAAGCTCCAGGCAGCTCTGAAGGACATCTGGGGCATGGTTTGGGGTGAGTCCTGCCCTCACATTGCCCTCTGCCCTTCCCCTCAGGACCCAGACAGAGACACACGGTTTACACAGGTGTGGTGACCGGGAAGGGCATGATTTCCAGGATATCAAGGTCATCTCCAGCCCCCGCCCCCTTCTAAGTTTGTATGATATGCCTATGGGGGTAGATAGGGGTTCTAGACATTTGGAACCCCCTCCTGGGGCTTAAATTCGCCATCTGAGAAGTGGGACGAGGCCTAACTCTTAAGTCAGGGCCTGAACAGTTTGGATCTGGGAGCCTCGGTTCTGGTTCCAGCCTCAGCTCACAGTGGGTGGCTAGCTTAGACAAGCTCCCTCAGCTGTTTGCCCCCCAGAGGAAACAGAGTGGGAGTCCAGGTCGGGAGGGAGCAGTTACTGGGACAACTGTCTTGCTACAGGGCCATCTGCCAAGGTCTCCTGCAGATGGCTTGCCCCGCCACCCCCGCCCCAACCCCCGCCTGCCATAATTGGTTGCCTACGTGCCTGGAAAGCCTGCTCTGCTGGACCTGGTGGGGGAGAGGGACAGACGAGCCCAACCCCCTATCCCCAGAGAAAATCAGGATTTGGCAACCTGGGGCGGGGTAGCGGGGTGGGCAGGGGGGCCTTGAAGAGGAGATTCAGAGGTGGACAAAGCCCAAACTGGGTCAGAGGTAGGAAGAGAAGGCACACATCTGGGGAGAAGAGGGTATCCCACTTCCAGAAACTGAAAGGACCCCTACATCTAGAGAGCGAGAGAAGGGCACCCAGTAATTAGAGAGAGGGTAGGGTGTACCATATGTGGAAAGTGGACAGACACCCCACATCTGGAAAGGAAGGGTTACTCATCAATGATAAGTGGATGACAGAGCCCCACCTGTGGGGAGGGGGAAGGAGTAATCTACATTTGAGGAAAGAGATAGTGCCCCATATGTGGACAGAGGAAAATTTTCCCCTCACCCTTGAGCTGCCAGTAGCCCCCAGCCCCCAGATCCTCCTCCATAGCAGCGACCCCACAGGCCCTGACGGGGTGATGAAAGCCAGAGTCCCAGCCGCAACCCCCACCGGCCCATGTTTGGGCAGCCAGGGCTCTCCCCAGCCACTCACCCACCTTGCAGCTTGGAGGGAGCCAGCATGCGACCCGGGTCTGCAGAGCAAGTAACAGAAGAGGCTGCAGAGGGACTGGATCGCTGGCGCCTGCCCCGGGCCCGCCCCACAGCCTTCCCCAGGGCCGCCCCCGCGTGGGAACGTCCTGCCTGCAAACGCCCAGCCCGCGTCCCTGGGGGCTCCCACCCACAGCCTGGGGAGAGGGATTGCACGGTGACACTGACCCCATGCCTCGATTTCCCTGCCCATCAGGGTCCGGCCTCTGGAGACCACCAGCTGATATAGCCCTGGATCCACCCAGCTGTGTGTCCTGGGCTGGCCCAGCCCTCTGAGTCCAGTTGTCCCAGGAGCTGGGTCTTCTTGCCTTCACACTTCTGCTCACTGCTGTTCTTCTACCTGGAATACTCTCAGAGGGCTTTTGAGGACCCAAGTCTTGCCAGCTTTGCAGCACAGACCCAATGCTTCCTGCTGCAGGAAGCTACAGGCATCTAGAATTTGGGGATGGCCTGTGGTATACCACCTGGCACTCATGCCCCCATTCACAATGACAGGTGAAAACCCCTCCCTCTGGGGTTCAACACTCAGCCGTGTGACCTTCAACAAAAGGCTAAACCTCCCTGAGTTTCTTTGTGTAAAGATTAAATACATCAATATAAAAGCATCAGGCACATTTATTCCAGGACTGTTTATTAAGACCTGTTAGAGCTGGCATTATTGTCTATTGTTTAAACACATGAGGATTTAGAGAGAAACAAAACTGAACAAAACTGAACACAGTCCCTGCCATTATAGGGCTTACAATCTAGTTCCAAGTAGAAAGAGGCCTGGGCAAAGACCCAAAGGCAGGAAAACACAGATGCGTTCAAAGCATAGAGAGAGACCATCTTGGTCAGATTGTAATGGGCAAAGGAGAAAGTTGGAGAGAGATTGGAACACCAAGCAGGGCTTCAGAAGTCACGGTGTGGATCTCAGATTTTATTTTAAAGATGGAAGGCCAACAAAGTTAAAATGGGGAGTGGTGTGGTTATTGGAGCAGAACATGAGTTCAGTAAATGTGGCTTGGGATTGTTAGAATACTGATGCTGGACTGATGGGTGAAGGCTGTGAGTCCCTTCTGTGACCTGGGGCCAGAGCTTTCTAGGTGTCCAAGCTCTGGTCAAGTGAGGTGTGCTGAGCACCCAATCATCCATCAGGGTTCCTGAAGCCCAGTGAGGCCATAGAGACCCAGTCTAGCTACTGCCTGGAAGAAGGGGCTTACTGCCCCGGAGGCAGATGAGCCTTGAAGAGAGAGACCCTACAGTGGGCAGGATGCAGGCCACCTCCATTCTGGGAGATGAGAAGGCAGTGTGGGAGTCTCCTGGATGTCTAAGAGACCCCAGCACCCAGGATTGGCCCTGCTTACTCCTGGGGACTGCTGCTCCCCCTTCCCCGTGATCAAGGGGATTCAGAGAACCCCAAGAGGATCACCTCACCTCTTGGATGCTGTCCAGGATGTCCTGAAGAGTAGGCCTAAGGACAGAAGAAGAGGGAAGATCCACCTTCAGGCAGCCTGGGGAGGATACACTTGGAGTCTCATCAGAACTTTCCAGGCTGGTTGCACTGGAGTGAGTGGCCGATGTGTGAGTGGCAGCGCTACTGCTGCCTCGATGGCGACCAAGCAGCCCGATTTCTGAGCCTCAGTTTCCCCAGAGCTCACAGGCCTCCCAAGAGAAGTCATCTGGAGAACTCAATCCTCTGTTCTCCTCTACCGTCTCTCACTCCCGCCTCTGTGGGAACTCCAGTCTCCAGATGTGGGGTGATGCTGTGACAAAGAGCATCTGTTTGGGAAGCTAGCCCCAGGGCTGAGGGTGATGGGGTGATGGCAGGCTCCAGGCAGCTCAAGGTTGACATAGTGCAGCAGGACCATCTGGGGGGTGATGTCCAGCAGCGTCTTAAGGCCTGGAACCTGGGAATAGTCAGACTCTTCCATAAAACAGATCACTCAGAGGTGTGGGGACCAGGGAGTAGGAGTCTTCCCTGGGAACCTTGGTGGGCACAAGGCGGACTCCAGATAGAGTATTACAGCCCACTCAGGGCAAAGGGTCCTCTATGCAAATGCAGGCTGAGATTTCTGAAACAGCAGGAATGGGAGGTGAGAGGCCCTGTGGCTCCAACCCTCCCCAGGGGAGCCCATAGTACAGAAAGGAACAGCTCTCACTCACTTGATCAGATTCAGGGAGCCCCTGAGATTCTGCCCAGACAAAAGGACCCGAGCCACGATCTCAGCATCCTATTGGTACGACCGTCTCCCCTCGCCCAATTCAGATTTCATGCAGGACCACCTTCATTCTCGCAGCCCAGAGGAGGTACCGAGAAAGCACCGGAAGGCGAAAGTAGGAAGAGCTGTTGTGTTGGACAACGCATCGCAGACTCATATTCCCAGCCCCTGGGGAGCTCCTGGAGCCGTTTGAACATGGGGAGCCTGGGACGGGGAAGGACGCGGGACGAGGCCAAGGACTGGGCTGGAGATGGCGGGTAGCTGGAGCCTGGGAGTAGGACTGGACGGACTGCGAGTTAGAGGGGTGCCAGGGAAGAGCAGGGGCGGTGGCACTAAGTGGGTGGGGCCAGCTGGGCGGAGGGAGGGGCCAGTGAACAGAGAGGCGTGGTCACGGCAAAGAGCCGATCCCTATCCTTCTCTCCAGATGGAATGCCTGCTGACGCGCCAACTCCCAGCAGACACTGTAATTCCGGAACACTGAGGCCTTCAGGGCCCCGGGCGGCTCCGGGCAGCAGCGCTAGCTCGGAGATCATCGCTCGAAGACCCGGAGATACACCAGGAAGCAGTCCAGACAGCGCTTCTGCAACTGTGGACAGGCGGGCCGAGTCAGAACCGACGCCGAACCAGGGCTACCACGGAGACAATCGCTAGTGGCGGGTTTCCTGGTCCTAGGAGAGACCCACATGGTGCAGTCGGAAGCAGGTGAACGCCCTTGGCTGGATTTCATTGGGACCGGTGGCCTGGAAGATGGAAACCTCCTTCCGGCAGGTCTGACGTCTCTGCACCACACCTGGGGCATGAAATGCACGAAGCCCTAGATGTTCAGCTGGAAGAGCAATTCCTCTCAGAGTTGCAGGGGAGATGTTTGAGGCCGACCCCAAGGGGCCATGAGTGACAACCTCATGTTGTCACTCATGGCCCCTTGGCCCCACCCATAAGCGGCCTTTATTCCAAGTCCTGCCACCTGTCTTGTCTCTCACACTACTCACCTACGCCCGTCGTCTCCTCCCTCCTTTCCCGTCCTGGAGCTGCCAGTCATCCTTCCCTAGTCCCTCGGGCAGTCTTTGTGCCCGCTCTTTTGGACTCTACCTCGTTGGCTAGCATTCCACCGTCTCCAGCCCTGTCCCAGCCGCGTCATTTATCCCTGGCGGTGCCCGGCTCGCCTAGCTTAGCCCGCCCGCCGACCCCGCCCCTACCCTGAGGCTCGTCCTTAATCGCTCAGCCCGGGCCAGCCCCTTGGCCAGTCCGTCATTCTGGCACTGCCTTCCCAAGACTGGCTAAACCCTCGCCCTGGCTCCCGCCTTGTTTTTTCGGTCATCTGCGGAAACACCCCCTCACTGCAGTCTCCGCAGCAGGCGCTAGTCACGCCCCCACCCTGTCAGTCACTCAAGCCCGCCCCTCAGTGCCCCGCCTCCTTCCCCAAGATCCGCCCCCGAGGCCCTGCCAGGTCTGCCATTCCCCTCCGGTGCGCGCCCGCTCGCGCCTCGCGCCGACCGTCTCACTGGCCCGTCCCGTTGATCCCTGGGGCCCCGCCCCCTCCAGCCTGCTCAGGTCCTTCCCCTCACCAGGTGGTCCTTGAGGTGCAAGCTGGAGACCCCACGTTCCAGGCGATCATCGCAGAAGCAGAGTAGGCGAAGGCGCTCCCCTATCGGGCACCGAAGCCCTCACACTCTGGGCGCAGGAAGGGCACCCGAACTCTCCTTGAGCCAGGAGATGGGGCATCAGGGTGGGGTTTGGTCACAATTTGCTGTTTTGGAATCCCGGGGCCTAGGATCCTGGGTCCTCATCACCACCACCTGTGAGCTGGGCAGGTGTATACAAACGACATGCAAAGCACCTCGAGGTTAATATTAGGGGCAGTGAAACTGAGCGCTTGGGAGGCCCACTGCTGGGCTTCTAGTCCCAGATCCATCCTCTGCTGGTTTCAGCCCCCTTCCTGACTGCCTCCATGGCCTTGGTTTCCACATTTCTGTAACGCCAATCACACCCAAGCTCTGCTTGGGGACCAGGAGGGTGAATGCGATGGTCTAAGTGGGGGCTTCTCTGAGAGGCACCCATGGCAGTGACAAATATAGACAGCATACTAAAAAGCAGATATTACTTTGCCAACAAAGGTCCGTATAGTCAAAGCTATGGTTTTTCCAGTAGTCATGTATGGATGTGAGAGCTGGACCATAAAGAAAGCAGAGTGCCGAAGAATTGATGCTTTTGAACTGTGGTGTTGGAGAAGACTTTTGAGGGTCCCTTGGACTGCAAGGAGATCCAACCAGTCCATCCTAAATGAGATCAGTCCTGAATATTCTTTGAAAGGACTGATGCTGAAGCTGAAACACCAATACTTAGGCCACTTGATGCGAAGAACTGACTCACTGGAAAAGATCCTGATGATGGGAAAGATTGAAGGCAGGAAGAGAAGGGGATGACAGAGGACGAGATGGTTGGATGGCATCACTGATTCGATGGACATGAATTTGAGCAAGCTCTGGGAGTTGGTGATGCACAGGGAAGCCTGGCAAGCTGCAGTCCATGGGGCCACAAAGAGTCAGACCTGACTGAGTGACCGAACTAAACTCAAAGTGGGGCTTCTCTGAGAGGCACCCATGACTGTGATATATAAGCCAAGCTCTGGATGGAGCTATGAGCAGTGTGAATATTGCCTTGGGGTCCAGCCCAGTGCTCTGCTCTGACCACCAGAGAACAGTCCAACTTGGCAAAGGGCTGCAGCAGTGGGATCCTGGTGGTGCAGGGTGTCAAATCAACTCCAGGGTAGGCATTGGTCCCTTCAGATCCCAGTGGATCTGGGATCCACACTAACGTGGGCCCCACACTAATGTGGAATGGTCTTCAGCTTCTGATCCTGACCTTCCAGGGCCTTCTGTACCACAGGCCAAAAGGAGGGTGCACAGGGACGGGAGTAAGGGCCCTTGGCCCACGTCCTGATCTCAAACTCACCAGTCTCATGGTCATGGGGATAGGCCCCCTCATGTGGCCCAGCCTTTGTGGGGACAGCCTCTTGGTATCCTTTTGCCTCCACCACCACTCACTGGCCTTCCAGGAATCTCCTTAACCTGATATTTAAGGTTCCCTCTGCCAAACTCCACAAATGGAGCCTCCTCATCAAATTCTCCTCCTCTCCCTTCACACTGTAGGCATGCTGGCCTTCAGTTCTTGGAACACACTCCACTCTTGCCCATGGCGGGGCCTTTGTAACTGCGCCTCCCTCTGCCAAAATGCTCCTCTCAATTTATTCCCACTTGAATGTTTCCACGCGAGAAGGCCTTATTGGAGCAACACACCTCACTTCTCACCCACAGACTTAGACTATGGTCTACAAACAAGCATCTCAATCATTGTGGCTTTAACAGTATCTCCAGTTCTACATGCTCTCTTTACAATGTGACCTGGACCCTCTTGTCATCAAATGGTGGCATCTGTGTCCCCATTCCCTGAAGCTGAACGCACCTTTTTGACAGCCTTAAACATAGGACATGGTAAAAGTGATGCTGTGTGACTTCCAAAGCTGGATCATAAGATGCCATGGACTCTCTCAGGATACTCTCTTAAAACCTAGCCACCATGCCACGAGGAAGCCAAATTAACCCATGTGGAGAGAACATATGGAGAAGTCATTTGTCTGTGGTCTGACTGCAGCCCAGCTGAGGTGCCAGCCTACAGCCTTCTAGCCATGTACATCTTCAGACAATCCCAGTCCCTAGCCACCAAGTCCCCTTCAGCCATTGCGTCTTCCCAGCTAAGGTCCCAGACATTATGGGACACCTCTGCTGTGACCTTTCTGAATTCCTGACCCACAGAATCCATTAACATCAGACAGCTGTTTTACATACTGTTTTCAGATGGCTTGTCATGCAACAGTAGTAACTAGAACCGTAACCAAATGTTATTTGGAATCAATATTTGCTGTTCAGTTACTAAGTTGTGTCTGACTCTTTGTGATCCTATGGACTGTAGTGCACTAGGCTCCTCTGTCCATGGGATTTCCCAGACAAGAATACTGGAATAGATTGCCATTCCTTTCTCCAGGGGATCTTCCAGACCCAGGGATCAAACCCAAGTCTCCTGCATTGCAGGCAGATTCTTTACTGTGTGAGCAACCACGTTTTCTTGAATCTGTAAATTTAAGTTTTTCACCCAATTTGAGAAATTTTAAGGCATCTTAAAAAAATTTTTTTTTGCATCTTTAAGGGTACATAAATGACATGCATATTAAATCTTTGATATTTCCCCACATGTCTGTAAGTCTGTTCAGTTTTTTAAATATTCTCTCCTCTTTAGATTGGACCACTTCTGTTGATCTAGCTTTAGGTTTATTGAGTCTTTCCTTTGTCACCTCTCTTTACTATTGAGACTATCCTGTGTGTTTTTAAGATGTGAGATATTGTATTTCTTATGTTCTAAAATTGCCATTTGGTCATTTGACCCTTTTGGGATTTTTTTTTAGTATAATTAAATGATTCTTTTGAAAATCATTTTGTTAAGGTATAACTGACATACAGAAAGTTATAGATATTTAATGTATATGATTTGATGAATTTGAAGCTAAGAATGCACCCCTGAAACCTTCACCACAATAATCAAGGCCATAAATCTATCCATCACCTCCAAAAGTTTCCTCCTGCCTTCCCCCCCAAAAAATATTGATTTCCTTATTGTGATAAGAGCGATTAACATACGGTCTACCCTTTCAGCAAGTCTTTAAGTCTACAAAACAACATTAACTACAGGTCCTGCGCTGTATAGCTCTCCAGAACTTGTTGGTCTTGTGTTACAGAGGCTTTGTACCTTTTGACCAACACTGCCTGTTTTTTGGTCTTTTTAAATGTTTTTTATTCCTCTGCTGAGAACTTCTGTTTTCCCATTCATTCTAAAGTATCCATTTTCCCCTCACAGTGTACTGTTATAATAGTTGCTTTGAAGTCTCTGTCTGACAATCCCAACATCTGGGTCTTTTCATGGTTGAAATCTACTGATTGTCTTTTGCTTTGAGAATTGGTTGGATGCGCCTTACTTTGTATTGCATCCTGGACATTTTCAATATTATCTTATGAGAATCTAGGTACTGGTAAAAGCCTCTGGAATTTTTTTTTTTTTTTTTTAGTAGCAGGCAAAATTGGATAGGTTCAGACTGCATGTTCTTTGTCACCTTCTACAGGCAGTGATTCTAGTATCAGTTTTACTTTCAAAGCTTTCTTATGTGGTTTGGTTCTGCCTGATGTAAAGGTTAGTCTGGAACTTGGGCAGTGGTTTGCATGGTATCAATACTCAAAAGATTTTCTCACCCTTCTGAGGGTGTCTTCCACACAGGCTCAGCTTGGGGTTGAGCCCAGGACTTGTGCTGGTTCAACACAGAATTGGAGGATTTCCTTTATCCATTCTCTCGTCGCCAGGATTATATGTACATTCTCTGGCTCCATAGGCCTGTTTTTCTGGTCAGAAATATGAAGTTCTCTCAGAATTCTAACCATCAGCACTGTCATACAATTCCTCACCACTGGGCTTACCCTCAGAGCAAAGCATCAAAAAACCAAAAGACAAAAAAAATGAAGATTTGCCCCACACTATTTACACTCAGGGGTTCTTTTCCAAGTTCTTTTCTCCAGGGAGTGGGTTTTCTCAGACTTTTCTCTCAAAGGCATTGGAACTGTACAGCAGAATGGGGCTGCCCTGCAGCGGGGCTAGTTGAGAGCAATGATTAAATTTAAAAAATAATAAGGAGTTTCCTTACACTCTCCAGCTTCTGCAGGTCCATTTTTCCTCTTCTCTTACCAGAATGCTGGGCTTCTCTGTGGGAGGGTGTGCTGCCTATATCAGGCGCGTGGTTTCCTGATTTAAACTATCCTGGGTCTAAGCAAGAAGATACAGGAAAAAAATTTACCAGGAAACTCACCTGGTATAGAGTGTTCTCTCACCTGCTTGGTGGGTTATTCCTCGAATTTTGACTTTTCACTCCAATCTGCTCTCTTTTATTTACTTTACCATGTTCTTTCCTAAGTAGTTGCTTTTTTAAAAATGTATCCAAAAAATAAATAAATAAATAAATAAATAAAAATTTATCCAGAGTTTTCAGTTGTAACCAGTGGGAGAGATGGGCTGTAGGAGGCTTATTTCAGCTTAGCCTTCATTCTCCCTCTTTAAGATTTTTTTTTTTTCCTTCCTTTTGAGGTAA